CCGCTGTAAAATGCATCGGGCAACCTCGGGGGGCCACAGTTACCAGCACAACCTGGCACGGAAGACGCTGAACCCCAGGGACCCGCACTACTGGTACTGTACAGTACATATATTGTACTGTACTCGTAGATACCTCAGAGTCACCCCCATCCCCACGGCGAAAATCAATGTCCCTCTTACTAACATAACCAAAAGCCATACCAGCAAGTCAAAAGTCTGCCAATAGAGACTGTTAACAATGCCTTAAGGTCATAGGTTTGCTACTCATATTCCACTTCTCATGAGAGCGATGGTTTTGGCATAAAGTCAGCATGCTGGGTTGAGCTTTATTGCTACAGTTATAAAGGTTAATACTAATGAAAGAATGGCAATGGGGATTGTTAAACGAGCAAACGTAGAAACATATCCAGGTCAGTTAGAACTCCATTTGGATTTGTTGGTGTTGTGTATAGTACTGTACGAGTACAGATACCGGTATTTCTGACCGGGTCAGAAATATATTGTCCCTTCGTGATCTGCTCGGAGCTTTATCCCCTCCCTACTTCAAACCATCGAGTGCCATATGGACGTGTATAGTCTAATTGAAGAGCGCGCTTTACCGATAGACTTCCCTTCCCAAGTAATGTCTGGCAATTTTTGGTTCTTAAAATTTTTTTTTTTTTGCAGTCACGCACGAGGAGAAAGCGCAGCTCTTGTTGTGTCCCTCTGGAGTTCCTGACTACTATACATAGCACCCCCCTCAATTTTTCAAGTCTCCACCGTACATACCCTCGTGGTGTAAGATATGACGGGTTTAGGGCGTAGAGGGACCAACATGGTAAATCGGTTCCATGGCGTGAGTATCGTATAGTACACGGTAGCATATCCGCAAAGCAGCGCAATCTCAGGACCGGAATTGGTCGGGAAGTAAAGGATGAGTGTTGTTTGTATATGAGTATTTCTTTATACTCTTTTTATTCTTTTCTCCTTGTTCCTGTTACTACTCTTGTATGCTTATTCATTGCGGACGACCTTTGTCTCCTGCTTCCCGGTCAAGAGTTCCATGAACAATCTTTCCATTAACTACGATATACTATATCCCTTCTTGTATTTATGACAACGCAATTATTACCGGAGAATCTTCTACTATTATCATTCATTACCCTTTTATTGCGCATCGCTGCTATACAATGAGCGATTGAGTGGTTTCGAGTGATTTCCGATGAGAGGCGGCAAGAATCCCCTCAATCCCGACCGGCTATGATAGCAAGTGCTATACGTGAACTGTATCCCCCTGCGCGCGCTGCGAGTGGCAAGTAACGTACCATGATTAAACTGTGGAATCACATCTCTTTGTGGCCACGATTGACGGGAAATCAAGCTGGCGGAAGCGCAAGGTTAACGTCGGTGAGGTAAAGGCTGTCTCAAGCGCCCTGGGGCGTGAACTCTGTTGAGCTGTTCGTGTTGTGGACTAGTTTGCATCCCTGGATCCAGAATATGTATATTGGAAGTTCAAGCATCATTGGGGTGTGGCTTGCCGCTCAATTTTTTATTTCAGACCGATGATAACGGTTCCGTGTACTTGAAGCACGGGGGGTACAAGTGTAGGGGTGGATAGGAAATCATACAGTTGTCAGATACCTTGGAATCTAGGGTAGCTCGAATAGTAGTTATACAAACGGGCTATGGTTAGTTAGTGCATGGACATATCCCGATTCTTGTTAGCTTTGGCATTGGCCTCCTGAGATATAAAGATTTGCCTACCTCTCCATACATCCGCCTCAGAAGCAAAGAAACAAATACCGCAATAATATACTATTAACTGCAAACTAACCTTCAGCGAACGCGTCCCCAATTTCCTGCCCCGTACTAACCCATCTAGCAACCCTCTCGTCCGCTAAAAAAAACAAGTAGATACTCGTCATCCTCGGAATTGAGAACCTTATACCCCCAATCCAAAGGGGTAAGGCCAGTATGATCGGGAACACAAATGTTCAGATCCTCCCGCTTCAGTAAAATGCGCACAGCTTCCTCATCCCTCCCCGCAATAGCCCAATGCAGCGCCGTTCTCCCCTGATTGTCCCTCGCGTTAACGTTAACCCTCCCATCTTCTGCGAGCAGTTGCACAACCCTCGGCAGGTTTACCACGTCCGAGCGAACGGCGGGTATCAAGGGAGTCGAGCGCTCATTATCAACGGCATTGACATCGATCTCCGGATGAGCAAGTAACAAACTTGCGGAAGCCCCTTCGCCAAACACCGCTGCGGAATGCAGTGGCGTCCAGACGCGGGAACCAGGGAGATTGACGTTGAAAGTGGGAATTTCCAGCAAAATGCGGAGGATCTCAGGCACCCCACAGGTGGTCGCGAAGTGGATTGGTGGGTAGGCCATGTCGTCTACGGCTCTCGAATTCCTCACTTCTTGGCGGGTGAGCAGGAGCTTGACCACTGCCTCGCGCCCGGAGAAGATCGCGGACATTAGTGGTGTCATGCCGTATCCCCCCCTGGTCTCCGGATCGAAGCCGCTGTCGAGGAGGGTTTGAATTGCCCGCTCGCTCCAGTCAGTTTCGGCCGCTATGTACTCGAATGCATCTCGGGGGGGGCAGCAGGCTAATTATGTCCTTCCGCAGTAGTCTTCGCACGAGGGGTTTGTCGCCACGTAGGAGCAGAGCGCAGAGCGCCCGGCCTCTATAGGTATCGGTGACTGAAGGGTGGATCAGGCTATCGTAAAGAGGGAGCTTGAGGAGGTTGGCATAGTGCCGGGGGGTCCGGCCCAGGGCCGAGATGGCTCGCGGGGGCAAGTGTTCCGAGATTTGGAGAATTATTTCGTTCGGGAGATGGGCGAAGGGCATGGTGCGGTAGGCCTCTACTAGAGTAGGCTGGAGAGAGGTCGCGATGGGTACAGTGTAGTGATCCGGTCGTGACGCGATACAAGTATCACAAATTACCGGTACCGAGGTTGAGGTATCACTGGCATGCCGGTAATACAAGCACGAGTATGACAGATAACCTTAAGCCCCTGCCTCTCTGTCTGTGGCCTACGGTATCGTATGATAGCGTCTTGGGTGACTATGCAAGGGTCGGGGTTTCCCCAGCGCCGAACTTTTCTGGTTGTGCCTTGCCGGAAGCGTCCAAGTTGTGCAGCACCCGTCCGCGAAGCCCCCAAGTTACCGGGAGACGGTCGTCAACTTTGCCGTGCCAGTATGATAAGAGGTGTATATCATACTTCCCGAGAAAATGGGTTATACTGGTATGGGGGTCTTGATTGCTTGGAATTATGCACGAGGGGAAACCACCATCTAGCCTGATAGAAGGCTTTGTGACTGCGGGTACCGGTATGATAATAGCTATCATACGGTACGGTACTATTACAGTACTGTACGAGTACAGTACTCGTACAGGATACGCTGCAGCAATCTACGCGAAAACAAGGGCAACTTCGGTGCAGTGCAGCCATAACCCGTTTGCATGTCTTGCCCACCGACTTCTTTGGAAAACTTTCCGGAAATGCTCCCTTTTTACCCGCTGTCCGTACCATACATACCAGTATCCTTCTGTGCCATACAGTACGAGTACTCGTACATATTCTCCCGCCGGCTTCATGTTATGACACAAAGGAAAAAATGGAGGATATAACTTACTGTAGCACGTTTCAGCTTTAGGCTGCACTTCACCAACATTGGCAAAATTTGGTGCAAAGCATCCGCGCGAAGTCACGTATTGCAGGGATGTTTATTATTCCCCCCCCCCAACTCAAGTTATCCTTCGGGCACGACCTCTCTGGAGATAACTCGAGTACCGGCACTGGAGCACTGTTTCTTCAATTCCAGGTTGGAGCAGTGAAATGCACAAATTTCTCATCTTCTCTGAGCTGGCTGCTTCAGCGAATGGAGCTGATAACCCCGCCACTTGGCAGCGATTCCACCACCATTCATTTCATCCTCCGCACCCCACTGTAGCCCGCTCGGATCGCGATACCGGTATCTGGTTTCACACCACCCTTCAAGGCACGCTTCTCATGTATCATACCATCGAATACTTTGTAACAAGAAATATAAAGAGAACATGGTAGCGGCACATGGAGCGCATATATTGGCGGTTTCATTGGAAACGCCTGTTGCACGAGTACCGTATACGGAACTGCTGCCTGATGTGGGATTAGCGCATTGCATCGTAGCCTGAAGTGATGGGTCACAAGTATGATTCCAGTGCTAGTACTCGTAACACACAACACACACAATACTCGTACAGTACGGTACGGCAAGACTTCCACCCTCCCCCGTGGGAGAAAATAGTATCAAGTGCGTTCCAAAAGCACACCCATTTCGGTCGTCCATCGCAGGTATCCCTACCTTTCGAACGGAGGCATGGCGCTTGGTAGAACACAGCGCTCCCAAGAACAAGAAAGGGCGCCTAAACACGCGATAGTTCTTCAACCGTCGTTGATTGTTTTGTTATTTTGAACGGGCTGTTGGCAGTGCTGCCCCCCGAAGCGCGCAGTGTTCCCTGGCGGACGGGTACGGTATAGGCAATTCCCAGGGAAAACCAAGGACGTTGCGGGTCGGGCCGCCATCCTAGGGCTCTTGGTGGGCCTTAAATCGCTGTATTGGATGGGACCCTGGCCAACAATCTTTGGCACTGTGCAGTCCGAGAAGTTTGAGTACAGTGCCTTGGTTCAGGTGCAGCACATCAATCCACTTTTCCTTGTGGGCGTTTGCAAGATGCAGCTCTGACCGGAAAGGTCACCAATCGAACGAAAGGCACTCTGCAATCTTTCCATGAGTTACTGGAGTTATGTGGTACCATGTGGGGCGGTATCTGGCACTAGGCACGAAATTGCTTCATAATACTCCAATCTGTCGGACTTCCGGGCTCGCAAGCTACATTCTCAGTGCTATATAAGAAGGCTGCATGGTAGCCTTCTCGTGCGAAGCACTAAACCAGTCTCTATCTTCTTGCGAACGAAAACCCCTCCTAGCATAACCCTTTTGATTATTCACTCTACCGTAACCATCCTCCAACATGCCCGTCGCCCCCCAGAGAAACAATGCTCAGGGCCAATCCCTCACAGTTCTTCTGCGCAATATTATTAGCGAATACCCCGCCGGCGGTGGTGTCCTTCGTGAGCTTTGCCAGAATGCGGATGATGCTGGTGCGGATGCCATCGAATTTGTACTCGACACGCGGCAACATCCCACCGAGAATCTTCTCCACAAGGACCTTGCGGAATTCCAGGGAATATCCCTTCTCGCATACAATAACATGCCTTTTTCTCAAAAAGATTTCGCTTCCCTGATGCGGATTGGTGATAGTGGAAAGGCCAAGGATCTTACTTCCACCGGAAAGTTTGGGCGAGGGTTCAACAGCGTAATCACTATCCCATTGGTAGCTTTCTGCCGACATTCGCGGCATCACTAATCACGGGGGCTTTTAGGTATACAACTGGACCGATAACCCATCCATAATCTCCGGAACCTCTCTCCTATTGCTTGACCCGCACAAGACATGGTCTTCCGAGATTGGTTGCCCCGGAGGCCCACTTTACGATTTCGTTGCCAACTCCAACGAGCCCGAGATCAGGAACCAGCTTTCTGCCTATGATAGTGTATTGAAAAGTTACGATACACCTTTCGAGGGGACCATTATCCGTCTACCATTAAGGAATGAAGCTCAAGCCATAAAAAGCGAAATCGTCGAGGATAATTTGTCTACATCCCAGAAGGATATCGAGGATGTCTTCCAACTGTTTTCAAGCGAGCTGGTGGAATCCCTACTCTTCTTGCGCAATCTGCGCTCAATCACATTGAGAATTGGCGACGCGATCATTGCCAAAGCTGAGTCCACCGTCCCAAATGAGAGGAAAAACGAGACGGGAGAGAACCCCGTCAATGAAGGCTACCGACAGGTTTTTGTCGAACAATCAAAAGAGCATTACGAATCGGACTTTATGATGGATATTAAAATCACTCGGAGTGCCGGGCCGGACACAGCTCCTTCTGAAACAAAAGTTAAATATGCGATAAGTCATCATCTGAGGAAATCCACGGAGGATGAAAACCTACAGATATGGGCAAGACGCCATAAGCTATTCCCTTGGGTCGCAATTGCCAATCCATTAGACGTTCGTTTATCCTCTAAAATTCTTGATAGCATTCTACCGAAAACTAACCTAACCCCCAGAAGACACCTGACTTCGATGGAAGGCTGTTTACCACTCTTCCCCTCCCCATTCAGACGAAACACCCTGCCCATATTCACGGAATATTTAGCATTACGCCAGATCGGTCCAATATCCATTCAGGGGGCGATACTACCATGAGCGCCAATTCGTCAACACGATTAGGTGCTCAATGGAATCAATGGTTGCTACATGAGTGTGTGCCACACGCCTGGGTCCGCAATCTAGAATTTATAAGAGACGAGAACCTTTCGCCCGGTTGGGATTTCTGGCCCGCAGGGAAGCAGGGGGAATGGGGGCAGTTGTGGATGGGCATTTTAGGGGCGGTTTTTAAGGAGGCTGTGGAGTGCAATCTCGAACTACTACCAACCGTGAGCGGGGCGGTAAAACCGGCCCAACAAGTAGCATTTACACTTGGCATTCCCGAAGATCTACATTTCTCATTCAGAGACGCCGGGGCTCGGGTTGTGTTCCCCCCGGCAGACCGAAGAACGGAAATTAGCGCCCTGCGTCACCAAGAGCTGGGTCTTGAATACCTTTCACCTTTTACTGCACGGCGCCATTTGACGACTATAAAAGACTCTGATGCACTTCTGCGTCTGGACATCAAGCCGCGGATGGTCCTGCTAGATTATATCCTGTCGGATTTCCAGGCTCAGGATTTTGGAAGCTGTGAAGCCCCGCTAATACCTCTATCTGATGGCACTTTTCGGGGGTTTGAAATGCCCGCATCTCGGGATGATCGAATATTCATAGCCAGAGACAGAATCGAAGAAGACCTCTTTCGGAAGTCACCTGAAAGGACAGTGAAAACACGTGCTCTTTCCAAGCAATCGCGGGAAACACTGGTAAGACTGATCAGCGAGATCGAAAAGCACACCAGAATCAAGGCCTGGTCTGTTGAAGATGCGGCCCAATATTGCTCTTCTTGCGAATTCGATGGAATAGTGGAAACAATGCCGGTGGTTAAAATCGATAAACCCGGGTTCGACAATTTCATTGAGTTATTCTGGGAATGGATCCTTAAGGCTAAGCGTAGGGGGGCCGGAAATTCAGCCCTGGTGAACGCATTGAAGGATCTATGGCTCATCCCACTCGGAAGACACATGTTCCAGAGGATTGGAACTACCTCTGAATATCCGGTCCTAAATGTATCAGCGAACAGGGGAATTGGCTCGTTTCTAAGGCAAGCTGAATCTGCTATCGCGAATCGCTTCAAGCCAGAGATATTGTATCTCTATACGGGAGGCGGATTCCCACGCGCTACAATGGTTCTCCAAGAGCTCGGGATTGTCAAGGATTATGATGATAGGGCATCCCTAATGAAGTGGCTCGAGGTTACCGTGAATGACTTTGCCGAAAAATTAGATCATGCTGAAAAAATGGAATTGATACGACACCTGTCTGACCTGTCAAGAGGTTGCGCCGCATCTGAGCGATCATGCATGCAACTAACAGTCCGCAAATTGCCCATATTTCAGGAAGCAAACAATTCAAGACCTGAGAAACGGTTAGTTTCTCTTTCCATTTGTTTTGATAGTTGAGCTAATAAAGCCACGAAGTCCCTGGATATCGATAGCCAACGATGGCCCCAATTCTCTTACAACATATGTCGGGGTGGAAAACTTGCCAATCACACTGGATACACCTCAACACGTTTTTATCGACACAAGACATTACGAACTCAAGGAACTGGTATCCCACCTACAACTATTCAAGTGCCCCTCTCTTTCTGAGATACTTAGAGACCATGTCGTTCCCGGGATCTCGGAAACGGGTACGCCTAGCGATAAAAGAAGAATGGGATTTATTGGATTTGCGTTGGATCATTTCAAGTCTCTATCAGCTGAAGCCCTTTCCGCGCTTTCTGCGAAGGAGATCGTTCCTGTCAGCACCGAGAAGCTCAAACGTCCCAAAGATACGGTTTCGGGAAAACATGTGGCTGCGCTATATTTCGACGATGAAGAACGGTGTCCAGCCAAGGACTTTGAGAAAGCCTACCGAGATGCGCTCGTTTGTCTAGGAATATCTGATGCTATAACTGATCAAGTTATATTGGAAAGAATTCATTCCTACAGCAGCTCAGCACGCCCGCATGATGCGATTAATGACAAAGTATCCACCCTGTTCTCCCGCGGCAAACCTCCCACTCAGCCACTTAGTAAGGAGGGTATGGAATTGCGTTGGATCCCAGCAATAAGCCTAGAAGGGGAACTTGGACTGTTCAACACTCTCCAATGTCGACCTGCAAGTTTCCAAGACTTGTGCAATTATTCCATGCCAATTATGAAATTCCGTATCCGCCCGGCGTGGGAGAAATGGTTGGGATGGGACGGTAAACTCACCGTTGAACAAATGAGCAAACAACTGCAAGGGGCAAAAAAGAAAGGTGATCGTGCTTCGTTAGCGAACCTGATCGAATATTGGTATGAGATTTACTCGCTCGGGAAGGCTGGCTCAGCCGTAGATACCGAATTGGAGCTGGACAGCCAGAAATGGATCCCTGGCTCCTCGGGCGGGTTCTTTTCTCCAACTGAAATATTTTTCGCCGGAGCGAAGCACCTGCCTCCTTACTATGACCAAGTTTGCGAAAGGTTCCCAGAAAACAAATCAAACGTCAAGCGATTCCTTACACACATCGGAGTAAAACCAGCGCCGACATTTGAACAGGTAATTCATATCCTCCCTGTCTGATTTCCGGTGAGGAAACCAGTGCATCTCTTCCCTAACTCGGAGATCCTAGTTGAAAGAGCTACAAGATAGAATTTCGACTGAGGGGCCCCTTTCAGCTCAGGATCTAGACGTAGCACTTTATATCGTGGAACAGGTCGCAGAACGACATAACAAGAAAAAGGACCAAAATCCAATATCAGATTTCAAGGCTCCGGATCAGGATGGGGTTATGCGCACATTTTCAGAACTCACCGCCAGCGGCAGTGATGTACCTCTTTCCCTAACAAATAGGCCAACGCTGCACCCAAGAATCTCAGAGTCAACAACCAAGAAACTCGGGTTACCTACCGTGGAAGATAGGATTCTCGCCTCTCTCAACGACCCATGTTTTGAGCAAGACTTCTCTCAAACACAAAGCCCCAAGGCAGTGATCAAGGATACTTTACAACGGTACAGTGTGGAAAGCACCTTCAGCGAGTACTTGGCCAACGCGGAAGATTTCATGGACGAAGAGGGCAAATCGGCAACCCGAATTGACTGGATAATTGACCACTCTACTGACTACCCAACGGAGAAACTGATAGACCCGAGACTCGAGGCCGTTCAAGGGAAAGCCCTATTTTGCTACAATGATGGCGGTGGGTTCCAAGATGAGGTGACGTTTGTGTAGACATTAAAGTATAATGCTAACGGATACCTAGTGTTTACCGACCAGGACTTTAAATCGATCATTGATGTTGGAATTGGATCGAAGGGACTGGACTACTCAAAGATTGGCAAATTCGGAAAGGGGGCTTTAACAATGTAAGGTCACGGTCAAACGTAAAAAACTCACGTTCGTACTGCTGACTAGCCTCCAGGTATCATTGGACATCTGCACCTAGCTTTGTTTCTGGGGATTCCTATGTGATATTCGAGTAGGTAACCAGGTCTACCAGCTCATGCACACACGCTAACATTTAAAGTCCCGAGAATTCCTTTCTGCCGCCACGCCCCCTGACAGGCAAGCCACGCGGTGGATTGAAATTTAGGATTCGAGATGTTCACACCCAATGTAAGTCCCGCCAGCCCAAATGTATCCGAAACCCTCCCTGTGAAATTTAGCACTGACACAAGTGAGACCCGGATCAACTGAAACCCTTTGAAGGAGTATTCGGCTTCTCGGCAGGTTCCTCGAGATTCGAAGGAACCATATTCAGATTCCCTTTTCGCGGACTCACGGATAGATCCCCGCTATGCCCTATAAACATCACCTCAATGGATACATGCACCTATCTCGAGAATTACAAAGAAAAGGCAAGGATATCACTGATATTTCTTAAGCATATCTCGTCCATATCCTATTGGCAAAAGGAACTACAGGAACCTATCTGGGCAGTCTCGGCATCGTCAAAGCCGTTGAGAGCAACCAGATCGCCCAGGATAAATGAGGTAGAAATCACGGTAAAAAGCTTTGGACGATTACAAATTCCTGGATCCTTGGCCTCCACAGAGAATGACAAATGGTGGACAATCGAGGGATTCACCGAAGAACAACTAATTCCGGCGGATTTAGCCGAGATGGCGGACTACCACAGACTTGAAGCCACATACGGACTTGCTGTCCCAGAACGCGCCCAACCCACTTTTTGTTTCATGCAACTTCCGCCACAAACAAAAGATCCCTTATCCCTCCCAGTTGGCATCAATGCTGTAAGCCAAGGGACCCCCATACTGCCGACGCAAGAGGATCATGTGCTAACCCCCACTTGAAATGTGTTCTAGAATATGGCATTGCAGAGTGACAGAAAAACTCCCATATCCGAAGAGAAAAATGGTCCTCTTGAGGGCTTAAAATGGAACAATTGGATCTTCAAAGAGGGGATTGTGCCTCTCTACCTCCTATTCCTACGACACCTTATGAAGCTCCATGGAACAGGTGGCTACCGTTTTTGGCCGGCACCGCCCTCTGAGCTCAAAAACCCTGACCATGCATCCTTGACTATCTCCACTGAATTTTGGAAAAAGGTGGGTAAAAGCTTATATGATCTATACCCTCAAGCACCCCCTCCTCTCCTTACTCCGCGGAAAAGCCAATCACAGGCCACCGAAAATCTCAGCATCAAGAGGGTTATTTTCGACTTTCTAAGCCCGGGGCAAAGCAAGTTTATAGTCCCACTCCTCATGCAACTGGGTATTACAAATATAGTAACACTCCCTCCTACCATTATGAAAGGATTGACAGGAGCTACCACAGACGAAGTATCGCTATTATCAGTAACTCCGGCATATGTGCATGATATACTTCGCAACCCAACTCGATGCAAATTGCTTCAAGACCACTGGAAGAAGGACCCAGGGAACCTAGCAAGAAACACCAGCATGTTACTATCCTTCCTCTTACAAGACACATCGGAGGATTGCTTGACCGGGTGTTCACTTCTCCCCCTCGACGGTGGGTCCTGGGGAACCTTCTCGCGAAAGTCAACTTCCCAGATCCAGTACTTCACCTCTAGAACTCCCCTGGAGCGTAGCATCCTGGAAATCACAGATGGGAGACTGGTTTCCAAAGATCTTGAGTGCAATGTGATCAATGGATTGTTAGAAAAGATGAATATCTCTCTGCTAAGTTTCGATCATATACCCTCATTATGTCGGTTGGTGGAGTCGAAAGATCCTGAATACCGAAAGACCTGGCTCGCCAACGTATGGGAGTATTTTACATTTTGTGTCGAGAAAGATCCCGCCTACATGGATTACTATCTCAAATCCATTGAATCATTGCCGGTATACTGTGGGTCTGTAGTGGGTAAACCAGGTAGCCTACGGTTCCTTACTCCTTTGAGCTTTGCTTCTGGAAGCCCCCCAGCAATCATCGACCCCAATATTCCCCCTTCGGAAAAAGGCAAATCGGCACTTTTCCAAGCACTAAACGGCCTAATACTGGTGAACAGATCGACATTTCCTAAAACAGGGTTGATCGCCGAGTCGTTGTCATGGCCACAAGGCGTCCGTCGCCTTATCAAATCTATCGGTTCCTTACCTTCCACAATACACACAGCCCATTCATTGAGTCAGATCTTCTCCGGTATGCCCGCGGAAGGCGTTGAGGTAGTTATTTCTGAGACTCATCAACCCACCCACAGTTTTCTCTGACATGTATTAGGCTCTGAGCAATCTTATCCTCCCTCACATTTCACTTCTATTGAACGAGGACTACTCACTAGTGGGCACGTTGAAGCAGCTTCCGATATGGCCTGTTCTCTCGTCGTCTTTCCAATCCGCAGAAAAGCTAAAGTTGGCTCCCCATACAAGCCTGACTTTGACAAGAATGATAGACCAAACCACCTTTTTAAGACCAGATCTAGCTTCCAAACACAGAGATGAACTACAGAAATTGGGTGTTCCGCAACTATCCTACCTAGATTTTTTAAACAACGAGGTTGGCCTAGCTCGCGGATACCTACCAGACAAGAAAATTGGGGAGTACCGAAAGTTTACCGAAATAGTTTATAGGGTGAAACCCGGCATCTTCCAATCCTACAACCTAGCTGTGAATGGAGATCTCTGCTTCTGTTTACCAATTACCCTCTATGACTCTTCGGTGCATTTATTCCAGGCAGCGTTCCGAGACCAAGAAGGTTCAAGATTCCTACACAAAGAACTAGTCGGGTCGGCCATTTGGAAAGCCTTCCTGATCCAGAATATTTCGGGTCCAACATATATCGAGTGTGCTCGGTCGATCGAGCGCCGAAATAACCGAACACTCCCAGACGATCAACTCGAATCTGACTCGTGTACCGTATTCAACCATTTATGTTGGGACTATCAGGAGATGCACAGTTGGCCTGTGTCCGCATGGGAAAGTCTCTCCAATATACGCTTTGCGCCAGCTCAAGAGGCTATCACGTCTTCGGGCCATTCACAATTAAGGAGTAATCAGGGGAAAATATTCCGTCAGCGGAATAGGCTCATAGCACTTTCAGAAGCCGTGGACCCAAAATTTGAGGGAATCTCATGGAGCCAAAAGCCGGTGCTCCCGGTAAGAATGGGTCCTTTGGCTCTCGGGAAGATAACGTCGAATAAACCGATGATTACACCAACAACAGTGCTAGGACATCTCGAATTCCTTGCATCACACCGTGAGATAATAACGAAAGCAGAGCTCCCACCGCGTATCTCCGAAATCAAGAAGGCCTATGAATACCTTGAGGAAAAGGTGCCCGCCTACGCTATTCCAGAAAGTGTGCCAATCTGGCTCAATGTCGAGAACGAAGACCTGGTGGGGATGACACCAGAAACCTTTCGAAATTCCTGGTCGTGCACTAGGGATCTTTGCCTCAATAGCAACTACGACTCTGGGGAAATCAAGCGCGTCCGCTCCTTCCTAGGCCGCTTCCACCAACTCTTGGTCCATGCTCGCGTACGCAGAATAATACCCCCACCGTCAATCCCCGAGCCCGGTAAAACACAATCCCCAATCCTCGAAGGCCTCCTCAATCTCCGCGAACAGAAAGCGCTCTTCGACGTCACGATAACTGCGCCTCCCCAGACTTTCAAGGCACATAAAGTTGTTCTAGCTTCCGTATCCGAGTACTGGAAAGGCATGTTCACATCGAACTGCAGGGAATCATCTACCGCCGAAATCTCGCTCCAGGATGATCCGAGCACGGTCAAGGTTCTACTCGATTACATTTACACCAACAAGTTCATCAAGCCCCCACGTGAGGACGATGTCACAAGGCAACTTGAGAACTTACTCGACCAACTAGAGAAGTCGGAGAAATGGCTCCTGCCAAGCTTCCAGCATTCGATGGAGAATTACCTGTCAGACCCTCACTGGATTCGTCCCGAAACAGTCAAGCCCATATTGAGAAGTGCTAAGATGTATAAGGCCGATCGACTCGCTGACGTTTGCAGGAAGTACATTGAGAACAATAGGGTGATTGTTGAGAGGGAATCACCTAACGAGGAATAAGAGTCGTGATGCTAGAGATTTCGCGTTTTTTCAGGATTTTCTTTTTCTTTTCACCCTCCAGATCTCCTTGCGGTTAAGTAAAATAGCATAGGGCGATATCATAGCTTCTTCATACGTGTTTTTTTGTCCCCTTGTTTCTCTTTTTTTCTGGTGATTTTGGATTTTGGATTTGTTGTTTGCCTGACTTTTTTTAGCCCAGCTAGTCTTGTTATCTGGCCACAATAATTACTGTCATAATATTATTATCATACATCAAGTCCTCTTTTTACAACAATATCATTACGATAGTCCACCAAGACTCCATAATTCAAACAACGTCACACCATAGCAAACCCTAACCCTTCCCTCCCCCCTTCCCTCCCCCCATCCCACTCACTCACAATAGACTTAGCACCCGCCCCCCTACTATCATACCTATAGATCCATCCAATTCTGTCAGGACACGGAAACGCTACCATACTGTACCCCGTGCCCCCCTCCCGCGCAACGAATACATCCTGCCCCTGACCGACACGCCAAGCGCGAACCACACGCCGTCACTCCGAACCTTTTTTTTCCCTTGTTAGTCCTGGTGGCATTCTGACTACGATATGATAATTAGCAGCAAACAGAGCGGCGGAAAATTGGATTGATTGACCTGATCACCATACCCAACGAACTGAAAAGACGAACATAATGTATGATGTCCCACTTTATCGACACTGAGCAGTGCTCGGGGAATCCCTCCCCATTCCTGAACCCAAAACAATAAGTAGCAGCAAGCTATAGCTAAATATTTATCATACCAGATTTCCACCGCTGGTCGGCCAAGAATTTCGAGTGATTATTCGTGATATTGGAATACAGACTGGTATTATAGAGTATCTTAGCGGGAGGAGAAGAGGGCGGGCATCCCCAGCAGCCGTGACTTCCCGACGGTGGAAAAATACCGATCAGTGGTATTCGTGTGAAAACCAATACTCGAGGTTATCGTGTTATTGACCGATCCGATAATGGAATATTAACTACACCCAGGGCTTGGAAATGCGGTCGCTACAAGAAGATTTCTAGTTTTGCCTCACCCAATGAGGTCTTCACACCCGATATCTTCACCGCAAACACGAGCACGCGCATTTCTGAGCATCCAGAACCCGTCCGAAATCGTACTACTACCTCTAGGAAATAGCTAGCTTGGTCACTGGCAGTAACGTCAGCACGCTGGGCTGAGATTGACATCTCTCCGGGTAAGCGGTATTTACGAAAACATTAGGAAGTTCTGTAAAAATTACAGGTGGGGAGGGGGGGTTAGTTGTCTCGAATGGTATAGTGGTCTCGGGATGTCTGGTGGTAGAACGGGGGGGGGGACTTTCACTACCCGCGACGGCTAGAAGAAATGGTTGGAGAAAAGCTATATAATAGGGCTCAATACTATATTGATGCTAGAGCATATATTTATATAAGGAGTATATCGTGTAGATAAGTAATCATAGTATCTCACCCGCAATCCTAGCAGTTGGCTACCCGCAGGCGCATTCCGCATACCATATCATACTGGAGCCCAGCGCTTCCAATCGTCCAGTGGAACGACACCCGGGTACAAAGGCCATCTATCACAGCATTCCCTTTATCCAACCACCACTGGAACACGTATTCTATGTAAGCACTCAAAAAGTCTCGAGCGAGGCCTTGATCGTGCGCCAGCAACCTACCGCATGCACGGCGGATATATGGTACCCGATGTAGAAGCGCTTGCAAGCACTAGACAAACACACCCATACCATTTCCCCGGGGGCATTATGAAAAATCCGGCACTTTCCCTATCCCCGCACGCCGGCGGAACTACAAAGGACGTCAAGGGAGAAGAACTTTCCAACTTCACCACCACCGAACCAACCTTCCCCTACCAGCGCTACAGTGCATGGTGATAGTCAGCTATCATAAAGTTTCTCTCGACAGATCACTCCCTCCCCTCATCGACCACACCGGACAGGCGTGCCCGGGGTACTCGAGACTTATCCGAAAACAAAAAAAAACAAAAACGGGTCGGTAGACAGATTGGCTCCGCCCAAGAGATAAACTAAGCCAATATCCTCCCATAACAATATCACTAGAAAAAAAGTAAAAAAAATACTCGCATCAACCAGCACATGAGCAACCCCCCCTCCCGGCTGTTGAAACAGTGAGAACGGAATGATGGTTTTGGAACTGGTTGAGTGACGAGAAGAATAATGAATTGCTTAATTGACTTCTCAGTAGAGAGCAAACTACCCAGACTATCTACTGTTGAGAGCGAGACACAAGTTGCGAGTAAATCAACAGTAGGAAGTAAACAGAAACAGAGAGAAGAAAAGAAAGGCAAGGAGGTATGTTCAATAGTACCAATATTGTAAGGGGGTTTTGAGATGGCGATCAAGACTAATGCAAGGAGAAAATCAATAGTGCGAGTGATACTACGGTAGTGCCAGAAGCATATTTCAACACCGGCAATAGGTCTGCTGGCGAGTGATCGCGCGTGACCGTCTAGCATAACTGTCCGAGTACTTTACAACTAAGGCTTGAGCCCCTATTATCATCCTTTGTAGGCACCGCATTATCCATACACAAGTTACCCGTGAAGATCCGGAATAATTGGGAACGACGCTACGACGTCCAGAATCCCTTTCCCACCCCCAAACCGGATTAAGGGAGAAAAGATTGTCTTTAAGCGCTCGCTCGAGACAGATAAAAAGTGATTTATACTCCGAGACTCACCAACTAAGAAAGGTAACCTCAGCGCCCCCGGTGAGACCCGGTTTATTCCGGTCTAGCGGGAGGTGGGCTTGCTGGTGGAAAACGAGATGGGGGATAAAGATTATCTGTTGGAGAGGAAAAAAAAAATTCGGTGCCACATTACAGACTTGCTCGATTAACGTTGGGTTTTTTGGTTTGATGTAATTGGATTGCACCCGTGATGGTTGCCGAAAAGGGGATTCTTTCGCCTTCATCCATTGGCGGGATCGAATTGGGGAGTGGTATCGGTGGTAATTGTAGTGTCATACTGTACAAGAATGGGTATTATATCACCACTAACCATAGCAAAAACGCACCGCACAGAGCTCATCTTTGACTCCGATTCCATTTTATTATCCAAAAATGAAAAGAAACCATTTCCCCCCGGCCCCCGAACAAGTCGGAAAAAAATTAATAAGGAAACCAGAATAAAAGATATACTACAAAATTTCAAACTTAAGAATCAACGGCGAACCTCCCCACGAATTTGAAAGTCTTCAAGCCAGCCTCAAAAGTATCGGGCAATCCACCGACACCACTGTTGTCGACACAATACACACCATCTTGACTGGGTGAAATGCTCGACACGTCGAAACCGGCCTTTCCATCTCCGACGGCGGCGATGGGTTTTCCGTAGAGGAAGGCGTCCCGGACGATACTAGCCGGTCGCTGGGGAGGGTACAGTGACGACGCGCTAGTCATGGAGAACAAGGCGGATGTGCCGTCCGTTACAATTACCCCGTCGAAGACGACGGCATCGGTCGCTGAGTACGTCATGTCCACGCCGGGGGTAATGTACTCCCCAACGATCTTGGGCACGGCGCCTTTGCCCTTGAAAGCCTTGGCAAGGCTTACAGCCTGAGCAAGCGACGCATGCGAGGTCGTCGTGGCCAAGATCCCGATATTCAAAGTCTTGATGTTGGGAAGCGGGTTGCCAAAGGTCGACAGTCCGGAAGTCTTGTTATTATGATAGTAACCAGGATCCGGTGCCGGCGGCGCCATGCCCAAGGCCTTAGCGATGCGCTTAGCGAGATCGTTGGAGATCTTGTTGAATTGTGCGACTGCCGCCTTGCGCACTGCTTCCGAGGAGACCTTCGACAGCTCGAAGCGTGCCGCGTTGACCACCATCTGTTGCTCCGCCGGGACCAGGGATTGGAAGAAGAGCCGGGGCTGCGACCAATAGTCAAGGAAGGTGGGAGACACGGTGCGAACGTAGTGCGCGTCGACGATCTTCCGCGCAGGAGCGGTGAAGTGGCCGCGCCCAGCGTTCTGAGTGGCGGGCTTGGGGAAGCCTCCGTTTAGGGTGTTGGGTGTGTAGGGGGCAGTGTTGAGATGGATCATGTTCTGACCGGCACCGTCACGGTTGTTGTTGTGCACTTCACTGTGGGGTTGGTTCTGGTATTGGTTAGCCATTGGGGAAGATGTAAAACGTTAACAGGGCCATTGGGTATGTAGATACTTACAATTGGAAGCTGCTCGAAGTTTGGTCCGCCATGACGGTTGAGTTGAGTATCGACATACGAGAACAAGCGTCCTTGCAGGAGAGGATCGTCAGAAAAGTCAATGCCACGGACAACATGACCGGGATTAAACTATACTCCAACGTTAGTACCACATCCGTAATGATAAACCGACAATTGCCGGTGGATCACATCATGCCATCACTCACCATAGCCTGCTCGGTCTCGGCAAAGTAATTCTTTGTATTCTTGTTCAGGACCAGCTTTCCGATGGGCGTGATGGGCACCAGCTCGACGGGAACAATCTTGGTCGGGTCGTTAAGATCAAAGCCAAATCTCAGGACATCATCCTCGTCCATGATTTGCACGCCAATATCCCATTCCGGGTAGTTCTTCGACTCGATGGCGTCGAAAAGGTCTTGACGGTGGAAGTCGGGATTCTGGCCATTGAGGACCAAAGCCTCGGACCAAACAAGGGACGCAAGACCTTGTTTCGTCTTGAAGTGATACTTGACCAACTTGGACTTGCCAGCATCGTTGACGAAACGGAAAGTATGCACCCCGAACCCATCCATATGACGGAAAGAGCGAGGGATTCCGTGGCCAGAAAGAGCCCAGAGAAGGGTATGCATAGTCGATGGGTTCTGACCGAAAAAATCCCATGCGGAATCGTGGGCGGTAGCAGCTTGGGGAATCTCGTTATTGGGGCTAGGCTATGCTAATTTTAACATCGATCATCCTAAAAGGCCAATCACTCCCGAGCAAAGCATACCTTAACCGAGTGGATGAGATCGGGGAATTGAATTGCATCCTGAATGAAGAAAACTGGAATGTTGTTTCCAACGATATCGTAGTTTCCTTCACCAGTGTAAAACCTCAATGCGAACCCATGAACATCCCGGACGGTATCCGCACTGCCCCTTGATCCCGCAACAGTCGAGAATCGAAGGAATACTGGCGTTTTCTTTCCCTCCTTTCCGAGGAACGAGGCGCTAGTAATGTTGGAGAAGTCACCGCAACTCTCGAAGTATCCATGGGCAGCGGCACCACGGGCATGGACTACCAAAACACATGAGCATACAAACGCACTAAAACAAAATATATAAAGGCTTACCTGCACGTTCAGGAACCCTCTCATGATCGAATCTGGTGATCTTAGTCCTGAGAACAAAGTCCTCCAATAGCGTTGGGCCCCTCTCCCCAGCCTTCAGAGAATTTGTATCATCCACCGGGGTACCAAAATCCGTAGTAGTGTAGTCCCCTTCCCCATCCTTAACGTAGAATTTCTCAAAGAAGCCATCATCACCAGGCAGCCCAGAGGAACTACCGCTCTCACCAGCACGCTTATGCAAAGAGGCGCCTCCGTCCATATAAGGACAGGCCGCATTGGCTACTGCATTGAGCAGCAGGAGACCGGTTGAAATTGAGGCTTTCATGGCCGGAAGACGAATCTGAATAGAGGTAAGGAAAAGACAGACAGATGTAAATTGAATGACTACCGTAGCGGTAGAGAGAGGGGGGGGGGGGAGGGCGCTGATCAAGAGTATTTATTCAGTCCCAGATCACCACCCAAATATTATGTCAATGTAGTATTGGAGGCTTCTGGAACCCGCCTGCCCACAGCTACCGTATTCGGACCCAGACTTTTTTTTTCTTCTTCCGATGGCGCTTTTTACAAGTACGAGTACTTGTACGAGTACTTTACAGTACAAGGCCGGCCATAGCCCGGTCGAGGCGCCCCACCCGCTCCCTCATTGGTCTCCACTACCGGTACTAGCACCGGGAACAGAGGTCCTGTCCGATCAAATACAAGATGGTGATTAGTCAATCGGGCTCAAGGTTAACTGTTACCCAGGGATTAGAACCTAGAACACCTTATCCAGATGGTTACTCGAGTATAGAACGCACCGGCATAGCCATTCTCATTCTCTAGTACTATTAAATAGTGGCACCATCCCTTGCATTTCCTCTCAACCACTCTTCCCTACCGTAATTGTAATCATAGTGGCACAAGAGTCAGGCAATAAAAAATGGTTTGTGTACTGTACAGTGCATAACCGAAATTTCAGCAGCAGTGGTAGGCCCAACAAAAAGAGGACCCCAGAAGGATGTTTATTTTCCTCTTACCTCAGTCAACTTCTAAGAAATGTGATTGATGGATGATGTATAAAACCTTCAATCCGATCTATCGAAAGAACACTGCTTTCCAGGCTCTTGTTGAGTAGTGGAAGATCAGCGTTTCCAGACGAGCTGTTGTGCTGTACCACTAATTTTTGACAAAAAATCGATATCAACACCCCCGCGCCCTACCACTTTTTATTGCCTGACCCTCGTACCGTACGCCTTCCAGGATGATAAGCTTAGGTCCTCCCAGAACCAACGTGTAGCCTGTCGGGCATCAGCTCAACCCAGCATGGATGCTGTATTCGAAAAGCAGGGCAAGAGTCGTTGGTGGCTCAATACCCCCGAGTGTCCGTGGGGTCGATTGCAACCCCCCTCCTTTGTCTCAGCGGAAGGCTGAAAGACAGTTTTCTCACTGTGTTTTCCCCCTTTGAGTCAAAGGGGAGGGGAATTCTAGGTCTAATTATCACAGTTTTTACTGTATCGTACACACTTGTAGCTAGGTTTTCGCAATTAGCGACCAATAATCACATCTACTTGTACCCAGAAGAGACATAACGCATCAGCTACCAGGGCTAGAGAGATAACCACATGTCTGATCTTCTCTGGGCAGGACCTCACTAACCAACTCCGTCTGCTTCCTCCTTCTCCGTTCGAGACATGCCGGTACGTGAACTTGGGCCGGAGAGAAGAAAAGAAAAGAATCAAAACCTAGTGGATCATCAACCTGAGGTTGAAATGGCCACGGTTTGATTGTTTCGATGTATGATACTAACATTTTACTGCCGGTAGTGAAGCACACAGTCACCACTCCTCCACCACCCCCTCCAAACTCGATGTAAACAAAACATTGCCGGTATCATCAGCCGTATCACTACCGGTACTTGTATTCCCCGGCAACAGGCTATCAGGGCCAAGCTGAAGCTAGAGACCTTGTATATCAATTACCACCTTAGATACTATACCTAACTTCAATTCAATCGTGCGGAAAAAAGCTCGGAGATATGGAAAAACATCAGCATGGTGAGCCATTGCCCTAGACAGCTAATTACGATAGCAAGTTATCCAGGAACAAGTGACGTTGACTGATATGCCTGGCAAGGCTAGGAGAGCATTGATATCTGACCCACTCGTACTGTACTCGTACTAGTGCAGAAGCGCAATAACAACACACCCTCAGAGACCACTAGTAGGGAATTTTGCTGCGGAAAAGTTGCCAGAGAGGGCAACAAGTCGTCTTTCTTTTAATAGGGGTGCTCGGACGCACAAAACATTGGCGCCAAGATATTTAAGGCCAGGACGCCCGCGGCCATCGATCGAGAAAGAAAGATCAACCAATCCGCAGGCTCGCATATTGATTACAGATATTTTCTCCTATTTCTTTTTCGTTGTTGTTGTTGTTATCATTGTTATTGTTGTTACAGTAGATCCCGTTCCAACAGCTGCTCCTATCCGACCAAATACCGGAAATCTGCACAAAATTCTCGAATGAGGTCTCAGTTCCCTTCCACTCGCATTCGTAAGTGGCCCTCTCCGAATCGGTGGACGGATATTAAAGTGTGCTAAAGGACTCCCTAATCTGGCTCGGCGTTCACCTGACCTTGACCCAAGAACCCCAAGGAAACCCTGAAGCCCCCCACTACCATCTGTAGAGCGGCCTGCAAGAAATCATCCCCCTCCTTCCTCACTTCCGGCCCTTACATAATATCTCAAGGCTAGAACAAGGAATTGAACGAGTACGGTGGGCAGCAGTACCGGCACCGCACTTGAAGGAATGAGTCAGGAAGCTGTGGTTTTTGCCCCACGAACAATCCCTTTTCTAGGACGATTTATACTAACCCCTGATGTCTTTCGCCATCCAGATATAAAGTTTTTGCATGCTTTGCCCCTCTGAACAAGAAGGGGGGAGGGTATCGATCTTACTTGCTGACATGAACATTCGGAGATCAGGAGATTACAGGACCCACCGTGCTCGTGCCCCCAGCTAGTCGGTCCAACCCTTCTCCAACAACAAAGACGAGATGGCTACTGACTGGCAAGGGATGGGATAGCTTACAAGTACTCGAGTACAGTATGTGTGATGCCACCCTTTTCCGGCCCAGAGCCTGATGAAGTTGCACAAAGTGGTGCGAGTGCAATGCCCAGAGGATAGAGCGCAATCGTTTCATATACAGTACCGTATCCCCCCGCAAAGAATGTGGAAGCCCTGCAGCAATGCGGGAGTGCCCGTCAGGAACAAACTCTGTTTGGGGCACAGTGCCCCGGCCTTTACTCGGGTACTGTACAAGTATGTGATAGTGGCTGGTGTGTGTGCAGTGCTGGGCTTGTGGTCCTCAAGTCCCCGCCCAGCGTGTTAGTCGTCACTCTGTTTTCGGAAGTGCGCCAGCTTTGTCAACGTCGACCCCCTGACAGAGCACAGTGTACTACTCGTAATGAGTTCTGGGTGCGGTGCTGTACTTGTGCTCGAGCACTGTACCGGTACCTATACTAGCAAGAGGCCCCCGAGATCAAGGCCTTTGAGGGAGAGAAAAGAAAAGGAAACACTGCTATTGTAATGGTCCACCCCCGCCGTTCCCCCTGTTCATCGCCCTTGCTTCACAGGCTTGGTGTTGTGGCTCCTTTGACACACTTGCTATCGTACCGGTAACTTACATATCTCAGTCGTACAAACCTGGAGTTCGAGCGAAATAAAATAAAGCATACAAATCCCTGGCATATGGGAACCGAACACGGGGGGAAAAAATTGTGCTACCGGTAGCGTAGAAGTACTAGTACAAGTACCGGCACTCGAGTGCTTGCGCTCGAGTATAGTAAATTGTCCGTGCATGTCTGATCTCCCATTCCAAATTCAGGCTCAAATGTTCAGGCTTCTTCATGCCGGGAACCTATGGACCCATGTGACACTGTCAACCAGGGTCTCGTATCGATGTTACTCGAGCTCACTCGTCCAAACCTGCCCTAGTTTTTGTAATGCTGTATCCCTTTGTCCGTCGGGTGCACCCAAGAAAACGGTGCTACAGTAAAGGTCTCGGTTTGAATTTATTCCCAGTCCAGGAAGGATGTTCTTCAGATCCCGTTTTCTTAACCAGATCTCTCGGGCGCACCACCCGACAGACTAAGGGGGAATCGGCCTCATAGTTTCGGTATATTTGGACTGGAGGTATCTGGCCTTACCTTACTCTTCTACATGTACCTCTATCCGATATGAAGTATCATAGACCATCATATGAATACGGTACTGCGCCCTTAAAAACTTTATGCGGTGTGCTGTGTATCACAACCCAAAACTCCCTTCTCTGGAAAGGGGGCAAAGAAAATACCGGTACAGGTAGGGCAAAAAAAAAACACAGACCCTTCCTTCCCTTCCGGGACAGATTCCTTAACCTCCGCCCACCGAGAGAGAGGAAGGGCCAATGACATAGCACGCCGTCCAATCACCGTATTCAATGCTCTTTTCGAGCACATTTGACCGGGAAATATGCCATCGGAGAAATGAAACATTCCCTTCACCCCATCATAAAACTGTGCAGTCAATTGTTGTATCCCCAGAAATTTTTACCTTTGGAAAGCCTCTCCGTGTGTTCGGTCTGCTTCCAATTCAAACTGCTACGTTTTGGTAGTCTGTTGCGTCGGCCCCGGGGGGTCACCAAACTACTTCACTCCGTTCATCTTGGGGGAAAATATAGCGGTAGGGAAACTTTTGCAAAGGGGGTACCAGTTGGGTTCAAAGAAACTCTTACTTTTTTTCTTCTCGTTCTCAATTCCTTTGCCTGTTTGAGTGGTGAGGTGCCGGCACTTGCCACCTGGAAGTACGAGTACCGGTAGGAGTAATTATACAAGAATAAGCGCGGCCAAACTTTTCCAATCAATTGATGTGATCTGCAAGGTTCAAAAAAGAAAAAAAGACCTTCACCGGATGGTCTCACTTGTGATCAGGCAATGGGGTACGGTACTGTAATCGAGTACAGTACATGTACGATGACAATTAGTTACGGTGCGGTCCTTGCGACGGCATGATGTTCCGCGGTCTCCCGCCTCTCTCGCGACCAAGTTCCGTGCTCTTGCCGACGCCATTCCAACCATTTGCGGTCGCCCGCTGGCGATGCTGAAACTCGGTGAGTGTGAACGCCACACGAAGGAAGGGAAGAAAAAAAGGGAAAACGATGTCCACACAAGGTCATAAATTCTTGAGACCTCCTACCGGTACCATACAAGTACGAGTATTCGGGGAATCTACCAGGTTGTTTGGTGAACGTCCCTCCTTCCCAATCACGGATGCAGCCCCGAAAAGGAAAAGGGAAGAGAAAGACAACCA